TATATATATATACACACATACTGTGTTTTAAACTAGGTTGAATAGCTATGCTTGGATATAAGATGTTTTGAGTTGTTTGAATTTTTTGGTTTGATATTGTTAATTTTAAAAAAGTTGTCCGATTAATTGTTAACATAATTTTGAATTCATAGTAAAATAAAATAATTAAAGTTGATTCAATATAGAAATGGGAGAGAGATGATGTGAAATGATGATTAGTTAAAATTATGTGAGTTGATGAATATTGAATTAAAGTTGATGTAATGTGTAAGAATGATTTAGTGGTATTATTTAATTATATCGATAATATTGATAAGAGTGAGATTGAATTACAGAGTTAGATTTTAGTTAAATTAATTGATTACAAGTAATTGATTTTTTTTAGAAAAATTTGTATCTAAACATGCACTAATGCTTGAGAGAGTCTGGCAAAGCATTTGATAAACGAGTAAAAGATTGCCAAATTTTATTTTGTGAAAGCTTACACTAATAAATATTAAATTTTAAACAAGTTATTTCCGAACAATTTATTTCACTTGAAACTAATAAAAAAAAATAAAAGTTAAACTATGTACAAATTCGACTAATTAAATAAATAAGTTCATAAGATGTTCGTCTTCGGCACAATAGATAAGTGAATAAGCAAAAATTTAGTTTTCACGAGTCAAACTAAAGTCTGAATTATAGAATCAGTATTTTAATATAATTATATAGTTCATTTTACCATTTGTTAAAATTTTTATACACTCATTATTAAACTATAATTTTAAATAATATATACATACATCTAATGAAAAAAAAATTACATTTGGTACACAATATCTGTTACTAGTTTCATATATCCGAACCCGTTTTTTAGATTGAATCGATGTGAGAAGTTTACAAACTCTAATATCAAATCACACATCTAATTAAGTATAACTAAATCTTCAATTCATCGAACGATGCTTTATTATAGTCAATTTGTGCTAATTTTAATCACAATCAATAAAAAATGAACGATGAAGACAATAATATACAACTTAGAATTTGTAAAATGAATGTTCAAATAAAAAAAGGAAAATGTTGTATTGCCCACATTGTGTACAACAATGAACAATACAGGTGGAATCCCTCCAGTATGTAATTGTTGTGGATGTTTCACTTATATTGTCAATCTAGTTTTGTTTAAGCTAAGTTGGCGATGGTGCCATAACCAATAGAGAGATGTCAAAATTGCACATTATATGTCACATGCGAGCATTTTGTCGTTTGAAAAATAAAAATAAAAATACAAATGTGTCATATGCGAGCGTAATTACAAATACGAACAACAAAGGTGCCATATATGAAATATACGTGTCCTAAAGGACTAAATTTAAAATATATATTTGATATAGGACTAAAATCTAAAAAGCGCACCGTTTTTGCGGGACTGATTTTACTATAATCCTTGACTTTTGTGGAGTTCCCATTGTGGGAATAAAGAGAAACCCAAACTCCGGTAGGCCGCCGCCTCCGATTCCGGCACCAGTTCCGGTCATCTGATGCCTGACCTGGACAGCTTCTGGTCGGAGAACTGATATTTCGCCTGAAATTTGGGGTTTCAATTTTCGCAGTATGCACAACAGATGGAGTTATTGCACGCATTATTTGCTCCAGTGGTGGCGCTTCATATTTAATGGCGCAAATGCATATGTAGAAGGTAATACAATACACCTGGGTGTTGATACTGATTGGTCATTTGTTCTTATGATTATGTCGTTGTAATTGTTTTTCTGCCTAATTCCATGAATGGGTCGAACTGTTTAACATCAACTGATGAAATCACCTTGCTTAACTGTTATCTTGTTCATCTTTTTAGTTCAGATCTCCAAATAATTGGAGCATTTTGAAGCTACTGCACTAATACTGATGTTCATTTGATTATATAATTGTATTATGTTTTTATTGTTTTTTGTGTTTTGTTTATACTTGGGCCCTTTACACAGTGTCAAGATTTGTGGACATTATATTGTTAGCTCCTTTTCTTCGTCTGATGAATTCGACTAAATTAATACGAGTGGGTTGATTGTAGTGTGCGAACTGTATTTGTTATCTGTGATTGGTATTTCAGATTTGATAGCGTTTCATTCACATAACGTTTGTCTTTTTTGATAATTCATGGGATATAAGTGTATATTGTTAATTGTGCCCTCATCTCAATAAAATGTAATAGTGAATGCCTCGTTTTCGTTTTCTTCTCACTCAGTTCGTGGATTCGGATTTTGGTTTGTAGGCGATATGCCTAGTGATTGAGGAGTTCCTTAGATGTAATTTTCCCATTTCTTGTTTTCAGAATGACATGTTTAGTCTAGATGTATGGTTGTAGAAAATAGGAGAAACTAATACCCATCGGAGGAGACTATATACAGAAAGTCAAGCTTGGTTGGGTAAATGTCATCTACATTTACTCCTGTAGATTTCTGTGGGGAAAATTCTTCGGCTCTTCTGATATGATTTTAATGATTTTAGGTGAAATGTTGATGAAAGTATGGCCACAATTGTCATGAATGTGCTGCTGGAGATAGTCTGAGCCAATAATATTAGGTTTATGCTGGTAATTTTGAAAACTGTTTATACTCATTGGATTGAACAAAATATAATCTTTTAGTTTTGAATTTGTACCCACGATAATCGATGGTAGTTTCTTATGGACGTGAGTTTCTGATTTACTTATGAACCAACTTTTGTTTTTTTTTTTCATATTATCATTATGACGTGAGAAGCAAAGCTTGGATGTTTTTGTTCCACAAGCTGATTTCAATTCAGCTAAAGAATCTCCGTGTTTTAGGATGTTGCAATCATAATAAACCTTAGGAAAATAGCGTTGTTCTTGAATTACATAATAGCTCCTGAACCATACACAGAACTCCAGTGGTTCCTAAACAACGCTAATTTTCCTCCTTAAAAATAGTAAACTAATGCATCCCATTCTCATATGAACATTTGATGGTACATACATCCTGACAGCTCGTCATTTACAGTTTTGCTATGAACTCAATAGGGGAACATTTGTGCCGCTTGAACTTTGTACACTTGTGTACAAAATTTGTACAAATTCATTGCACATTTTTCTTGTTCACTTCGTCAAGTGAATAATAAAAAAAAATCACGACTTCACTGGAAATCCTATCACCGAATCACGAATCTCTCGAATATCTAGCAGGTATGGGACATTGGAATTCAACGCCCTCAGAAGACATGCAATGCCGTTTGCGCCTTCCAGCTTGACCGAAACATTGACCACCCCATGACCCCTCGACCCGTCACTCTCCCTCAGACTGTAGCTCAAGAAACGAACTGAACCCACAGGCGAAAACCGGCTCACAATGTCGGCTGCTGGAATCAGACACCACCCGAGTCGAGTCCGGCCCATCAAAAGTTGTTTCGTGTAGAGCTGAAGGTAAACTCCCGGATACCTCTCATTGACTACGAATTGTTCAAACGGCAGCACAAACTTGTCACCCCATGTGGGATTCACGCCTCCTCTTTCGTCCACCCTGGTTTTGTACATTTTAGCGTTGTTGAAGAATGTGCAGTTGCAGTTCAACTTTCACCATCTCTGCATGAAGATGCTGCATGGTTTCAAATGGCGACTTATCAAAATCGCTTTTCTTTTATCGCTTTTCTTTTATTTTTTGGCTTTGATCTTAAACGGCGTCGTATCACTTAATGCGAACGACGCCGTTTTGATTTCCTTTTGTTTTTCCCTTTTCTTTACTACAAACGACGTCGCTTGGCATGTCAACGACGTCGTTTTGCTCTTCTTCTTGCATGTAGGATTTGTATATAAAGTTGGCCGTACGTACTCTGTTCTTTGATGAGAAAATTATGAACTGAGAAAATTCCAAAAATTGTGTTGTGAGTTTATACATTTTTACATGGTATCCAGAGCAAGCGGTTCTGGGCGAGCTTAGAGATCTGTGATTAATGGCGATGGCGAATGATTATGCAACTGGATCTGGAACGCGATCGGCGAGTCAAAATCCTTTGTTCCTTCATGGATCTGATCATCCTGGTTTGATGCTGGTTTCGAATCAACTCACTGGCAGCAATTTCCTCTCATGGCGTCGATCTATGATGATAGCTCTCGGAGCTAAGCGAAAGCTCGGATTTATAAATGGTGAGTTACCTGAACCTGCTATTGATGATGACGATTATGATGAGTGGAAAAAGGTCTATTTAACAGTTTTGTCATGGATTCTCAATTGTATGACCAAAGAGATAGCTGAATCGTTTGTGTATGCTGATACTTCTAAGGATCTTTGGGATGATATCTGTATGAGATTTGGAGAAAATAACGGTCCATTAAAATACAAACTGCAGAGAGAGATTAACAGTTTAGTGCAAGGAAATAGCACAGTGATGGATTATTTTAACAAATTGAAAAGATTATGGGATGAATATGCTTGTGTTGTGCCTCCTCAAACCTGCAACTGTGAAAAAGGAAAGCTGATAGCTAAAAATGAAGCTGAAAATAAGCTAATTCAGTTTCTTATGGGATTACATGAAGGATATGACAATTTGAAAAATCAGATTATGCTAATGGAACCCCTACCAAGTGTGAGTAAGGCTTATTCCATGGTACTCACTGCAGAAAGGCAAAGGACTGTAAGTAATTCTTATGATAGAGTGGATAATCTTGCTTTGAGCAGCAGGACTGAGGGATATGGAAGGGGTTTTAGTAATCAAGGAAGAGGTGTTGGTTATAGAGGAGCAAGCACATCAGGAGGAAGAGGTAGAGGCTTTCCCAGATTAAGCAAGGAAGAAAAGGCCAAGCTAGTATGTGACAAGTGTGGGATGAGAGGACATACAGTAGCAACTTGTTTCAAGCTACATGGGGTACCTGACTGGTACAAGGACTTAAAGGCTCAATCTGCCAATTGTGCTAACAGTGTGGAATCATATGATGAAGGAGAAGAGTGGAAAGATTCTGTGCAAGACAAAAGAAATGGAAAGGAGAATGAGTTGTCACTTGTAGTCAAACAATTGCAGGAATTGACACAACTCATAAAAGGAAAGGGAAATATAGAGAACAAATTGGATTATGCACAAATGGTAAGCTTCACAGACAAAGGCAGTGTTGATGAAATGCATTTTGCTCTAACCTCAGTAGAAGATGTGAGCTGCAGTGATTGGATTATAGACACTGGGGCAAGCAGACATATGTGTGGTGATTTGACCCTCATGAAGAACAGCTACACACTAAGAAATCCTGTGACTATCTGTCTGCCAGATGGATCAAACAAAAGTGTTAATGTCACTGGAATGGTGAGAGTCAGCAGCAACTTAACCTTGCATAATGTGTTGTTTGTACCAGGGTTCAAGTATAATCTATTATCAGTAAGTCAATTGTGCATGGATGAGAAGGTTAAATGTTCCTTTTCTGCTACCTCTTGTTACTTGAATCAAGAAGACACTGGAAAACTTGTTGGACAAGGAATTTCAAAGGGAAATCTTTACATCTTGGCTGCAGAAAGAATGGCTCACATAAACTCAGTCAGTGCCAACCTTACATTAGGTAAATGGCATCAATGTCTTGGGCATGCCAGCATCAGCACTATGGAACACCTTCAATTTCTTAAAGGAAAATATACTGAAGCTGACCAAAGAAAGATTAAATCATGTGAAGTTTGCCACAAAGCTAAGCAGCACAGACTGCCCTTTCAACACAGTAACATACATGCAACAAGGAGCTTTGAGATGCTTCATGCTGACATATGGGGACCTTGCAAGGAGGAAGCCATAACTGGTACTTCATTCTTCTTAACCATTGTTGATGATTTCAGTAGGGGAGTCTGGATTTTTCTGATGGAACAGAAGTCTCAAGCTGCAAAATTACTAAGTGGATTCATCTTGATGGTTGAAAATCAGTTTGAGACAACAGTTAAAAAGGTGAGAACAGACAATGGGAGAGAATTCCTTGGAAATGAACTTCAAAACTTCTTTCAGGGAAAGGGTGTGGTGCATGAAACTAGTTGTGTATACACACCACAACAAAATGGTGTGGTTGAGAGAAAGCACAGACAATTGCTTGAAATTGGGAGGGCTTTGATCTATCAAGCACAATTGCCTCTGAAGTTTTGGCCACACTCAGTCTTGGCAGCAGCATTTATTATAAACAGGCTCCCTAGTGCACTTCTCCAATGGAAAACACCTTTTGAGAGAATTTATAAGAAAGAACCTGATTACTCAAAGTTAAAGCCTTTTGGATGTTTGGCTTTTGCAGCAAGACTACAACCTTTCAAATCCAAATATGAGGCTAGAGGCAGCAAGTGTGTGTTTCTTGGATATGGACCAGGAAATAAAGGATTTCAGTTGTACAACATGGATAATGGAGAGTGCTTCATCTCCAGAGATGTCACTTTCTTTGATGATGTATTTCCATATGTAAAACCAGATGAGCATCAATCTGTACTACCACAAGCTGTAAGGGATGACATTTCAGAAGCAGAAGAGTTTGTTGAGCATCAAGAACCACAAGCTGAGATCTCAACAGAAATAAGAAGAGGTACTAGACAAAGAGGGGCACCTAAATGGCATCTTGACTATATTTGTGGAGGGTCTTCAACAATGGAAGAGATAAATAAAGAAAATACAGTGCCTTATCATTTTCTTTCTCCAAACATGAGTCACAGCACTTCACATAAGGAATTTCTAGCAAACATCTCACTTGAGAAGGAGCCTAGTCATTACAGACAAACTGTTTTGCACCCATCATGGGTTGAGGCAATGCAAAAGGAAATAGATGCTTTGGAGAGCAATCATACCTGGGAACTAACTGAGCTGCCACATGGCAAGAAGGCCATAGGGAGCAAGTGGGTTTATAAGATCAAGAGGAAGGCTGATGGGTCAGTTGAGAGATTCAAGGCAAGACTTGTTGCCAAGGGTTACAATCAAATAGAAGGTGTTAACTACTTTGATGTTTTCTCACCTGTTGCAAGATTGGTGACAGTAAGGGTCTTGATTGCTACAGCAATAAATAAGGGATGGCCAATTCACCAGTTGGATGTGAATAATGCTTTTCTACATGGCACACTTACTGAAGAAGTTTTTATGGTTCCACCTCTGGGGTATGATAAAGCTAAACCAGGGCAAGTGTGTAAACTGGTGAAGAGTCTCTATGGGCTCAAACAGGCTTCAAGAGAGTGGAATCAAGAATTATGCAGAAAACTATCTCAATTTGGTCTCCTGCAATCATCTTATGACCATTGCCTCTTTACCCTAACAAAGGACTCTGATTATCTGGCCCTCTTGGTCTATGTTGATGATGTTCTGGTCACCAGTTCATCACTCTCTCTAATGCAAGGCTTGAAGCAGTACCTAGATGAGCAGTTTACTATCAAAAATCTTGGAGTTGCCAAGTTCTTCTTGGGGGTGGAGTTGACCTACACTTCTAAAGGAGTATCTTTGTGTCAAAGGAAGTACATACTAGACATTCTTGGGGATTTGAATATGTTAGAATGTGCAGCTTCTCCTACTCCTCTACCTCTTGGAATCAGATTAGAAGCTCACAGTGGAACAGCCATGGATGAACCTGAATTATTTAGAAGACTTATTGGGAGATTGCTCTACCTTGGACTTACCAGGCCAGATGTGACTTATGCTGTTCAACAGCTCAGTCAGTTTGTTAACAATCCTCATGATTCACATTGGCTTGCAGCCTTGCACATTTTGAGGTATTTGAAAGGCAAGCCATCACTCGGCCTATTTTATCCTTTTCAGTCATCATCTTTCACTCTAGTGGCCTATTGTGATGCTGATTGGGCCACTTGCAAAGACACTAGACGATCCATCACAGGTTTTTGCATCTTTCTTGGTGATGCCCTTGTCTCTTGGAAGAGTAAAAAACAACACACTGTGTCAAAATCCTCGGCTGAGGCTGAGTATAGGGCAATGGGGTCAACTGTTTTAGAATTAATGTGGCTGCATTACTTGGCTCAAGAGTTCCACATTTCTCTTGTGTTTCCTATACCTCTTTGGTGTGACAATCAAGCTGCAATGCACATCACGGCAAATCCCGTCTTCCATGAGCGCACAAAGCACCTTGAGATTGATTGCCATGTTGTGAGAGATAAATATAAGCAGGGGTTCATACTTCCTATGTTTGTTGCTTCCATGCATCAATTGGCTGATCTCTTTACCAAAATCGTAGCAGGCCATCGTTTTTCTGATCTTGTGTCCAAGTTGGGCATGGTTGAGGTCGATCACGGCCCAACTTGAGGGGCGGGTGTTGAAGAATGTGCAGCTGCAGTTCAACTTTCACCATCTCTGCATGAAGATGCTGCATGGTTTCAAATGGCGACTTATCAAAATCGCTTTTCTTTTATCGCTTTTCTTTTATTTTTTGGCTTTGATCTTAAACGGCGTCGTATCACTTAATGCGAACGACGCCGTTTTGATTTCCTTTTGTTTTTCCCTTTTCTTTACTACAAACGACGTCGCTTGGCATGTCAACGACGTCGTTTTGCTCTTCTTCTTGCATGTAGGATTTGTATATAAAGTTGGCCGTACGTACTCTGTTCTTTGATGAGAAAATTATGAACTGAGAAAATTCCAAAAATTGTGTTGTGAGTTTATACATTTTTACAAGCGTTTTTATCGATGTTTGTTGTGGCGTTTGAGGTTGGGCAGAGAGTGATGAATGGCCGTATACGCTTGGAGAAGACCATTTGAGTTGAATTTTTTATGCCTTGAGCTGATATTATAGTGATTTCTAGAATTGGGTTTTGGCTGCTTTGATGCATGATTTAAATTTTTTGCAGTTTTCAGGTTTTGTTTGGAGGAAATGTCTGTTTTTGGTATGGGTTTTTATTTTTAGTATATAAAGTGATGGTGAAGGAAGATGTAAATGAGATTTCTTGGGGGTTTCTAGTGTTGGCCACAAGGCAACTTCTTGTGTGGAAAAATATTGCGGGCTGGAAAAATTTAAATTGGGCTGACTTTATTAGTTTAAGAGATGTGTAGAGGTTGAAGCATACTGATGATATGGTTATCTGTTGACGGATCAATTGGCCCTAAAAAGGAAGAAGGTTGTAGGAAAATTGATAAAAGTTTTTATTTTTTTTTTATTTCAATTTATGTGGGGTTTCTTAAATGTGTATTGGATGTATGAGAACTTTGTAGCGTGTGTAAATACAATCTCACATCAAAAAAATTAAAGGTTCAAGTCCAATATATAAACCTAAACTTGGTGGATTATTCTTTCTACTGTCAATTGGTTTTCGAATGGAATCTCATTTAAGCTTGTATTTTGGATTTGATGGAGAGCTGAGTTTTGAGCTTTCGAATGGAATCTCATTTAAGCTTGTATTTTGGATTTGATGGAGAGCTGAGTTTTGAGCTGTTGGTCTTAACAAACTTGGCCCACCTTATGATTGAGTTTTTGTCACTTGAACACACCCCATAAACAACAAAACTGTAATTTGTATATTAGGTCACATTGGAATATTATTGCACATTTGATTGATTTGTTTATAAAATATATTCAGAAGAATTAATAGGAATCACAATCATCATCCTTTGCAAGATGAATATGTTCACCCACATGGGTTTGAAAAAATGGAGCACAAATGGAGAAGAGTTTACAAGTTGAATAGTGTGATTTACCAGGTTCAGTGTATTTTTTTTTTTTCTCTAACTTCACTGTATGTAAGAATAGTCAAAAGAATGGAAGATGTTAAGGTCTCGTTACGGAACCATTCCGTCGGGGTTTGTAACCGTTTCAACTATCTCTAACAGTTACATGATGATCTAACGGTTACAAACCCTGACGGAATAGTTTCGTAACGGACATTTGCCCAAAAGAATATTATCCATAAAGATTAATAGAATTAGCTAATAATAGATAGTGAATTGCAGTGGATGACAAGATAAATGACGTAGTTTCTTTGAAACGAAGTTTTACGACCAGACGATTGCACACACCACACGATTGAACGTGTGCGTGTGGATCATACTTGTACGATAGTAAAGTGTTCACGGGGACATGATCGAATTTTTCGGAAGAATTATTATTTTTTTTTTCTAATTTATTATTTAAATTTATGTCTAATGTAAATTTATATATTTTACCATGCAGTCTTTAAAGTTTTACCTCCGATTCTCAATTTTCTCAAATTTAAAGATGATGATTCTGTATAATTTCTGCACCAAAGGAAATGAAAATGAAGTGTTTTTCCTTGTGTGGCTACAATACAATACAATAAGAGCTTGGTTCAAAAACTAAGTCAAAAAACCTTGCGACTCACGTGGTAAAGTTTTTTAATGAAATATATTTTTTAATACGAATTTCTAAATATATATATTTTTTAATACGAATTTATAAATTTAGGGAGAAATTAAATATATATATATATTTTTTTGTCATGGATATCGTTTCCGAAGACTGAAATTAGAAAAAAATTGAAGTTTTGCTCGACCCGACCCCTCTAATTAGAGTATAATTTTTGGGAGAAGAATAAAAACAAATAAATGAAAAAAATACTATGTTTAATCACAGTTTTAGTCTATCTTTTAAAAAAAAAAAATCACAGTTTTGGTAAAAATAAATATTGTTCGATCAAAAAAATAAAATTATTCATATAAAATTGCCAGCTATCAGGCCAATTGAGTGAAAAATTTCATGCTAAATAGGTAAAATATTAGATTAAATTGTGTGAACTCGCATTTTTGGGACTTAAAAAATTCAAAATGCAATTAAATTGAATCTAGGGTTGCAATCACAAAGAAGTAAAAAGAAGAGGACCAAAATGTAATTACTAAGGTGCCTCAGCTTCAGTCTTCATCTTGTTATCAGTATCCCCCATTATTTTTTTTTTTCATTTCCCATCCCTAAATTAAATTATTCAATTTGTTTTTCTTTTCGTGATTTTTGATTGTATATACTAATTACTTCAACATGGCAAGTTCCGGCGGGTTCAAACAGTAACGGCGGAGCTCCGGTGCACAATACTCCTTATTTCCGGCGAGTTTCCGTCAGGTCCCGGCGATTCAAGCGATGGTGATGGTCAATTCGATGTCCTTTTCCAACATCAGCTCTTATCTTCCGAGACTATGCCTGCCGCATAAGTCAGTCACCGGGCCACCGCGAACCACAAGGACGAAAGTGTTCGCGGTACTCTCGGACCCTCACGTTCTCCGGCTGGCGGAGACTCTCGAGGACTCCATCGCCTCCTCCTCCTCCTCCTCTCCGCCGCCGCCTCTCCAGAAGCTCCGGGACATCTCATCCCAATCCCTTCTGTCCACGCCCTGGCCCTCGCGGAAGGACGAGCCGTTTAGATTCACGGACACCTCGTTTATTAGGAACTCTGATGTTCAGCCTATTTCCCCTTTATCCACGCAGTCTCTTGCTTATTTGAGCGGCTTGATTGATACCCTTTCCCCTGGTCTCGCTATTGTCGATGGTTATCTGATGGACGATTTGTCGCACCTACCCGACCTGCCCGTCGGGGTGTTTGTGGGAGCTTTATCCAGATTGAACTCAGAGGATGTAATGGAAAAGGTGTCCAAATACGTCTCTGGTTTTCAGGGGGATTTGTTTTGGTCACTCAATGGTGTGGGTGCTCAGGATATGATTATCGTGTACGTGCCTCAGGGCTGTAAGGTTGAGAAACCTCTGCATTTGAGGTTCTTTTCGCTGAATGGAAGTGATAAGGATTCGAAAACCCTGCCGGTTTCGAATCCGAGGGTTTTGGTTTTGGTGGAGAGTGGTGGGGAGATTAGTATAGTGGAGGAGTATAGTGGTGGAGATGGGGATGATAAGTGTTATTGGACAAACTCGGTTATGGAAATTGTTATAGGAGATGCAGGGAAGGTCAGCCATTCGTATATTCAGTCACAGTCTTTCGGTGCTGCACATGTTAAATGGACTTCTGTTCGCCAGGTGGGTTGTAGCTTTCTTCTTCTAGAGGCATTTATCTTGGTCAATTGTCCAATTCCATATGTCATGTATTTTAATGTGCTTGCCTTTTGATTTATAGTCTGTGCCTTCACCTGCTTTTGAATGTTATAGACTGTGGAGGAAAATGAAATGAAAGAAAAGATTGTTAATTGCAGTCCTATTTTAGGTAGTGATGGTGTCTGCACAATGTTTTTGTATGCTCGAGAGGATGAGTTTTCATTTCCATTCGAATTTCACGCTTGCAGCTGGATAGGGTCATGGCTTCTTTATCGTACCTGAACACAACACACTTAGCTCTTATCTGCTCTTTTCAATTTTGTCTTGGGTGGACACTTTCCTTTTCTGGAAATGAGCAATCATTGTTTGTTTGTCCTGAATGTAGTCATGTACTGAATGTGCAAGAATAATGGAATGATACTAGTAATGGAATATGTAAGGATAATTTGATTAACATCTTATTCTAATTTTTAAAGCCTTTGTTGGCTTGATTTAGTGGCTGCATTGGTGCTTTTAGTGACACAGATGTCATTAGTTGCCTTTAAGAATTACACTATTCCTATTTGTTAGACACCTATATATTGGCATATGATGTTGACGAGTTTTGTTGTCTAAAAGACTTACTTTTTCGCTTTCATTTGCGTGCACAATCTAGAAAACATTAACAACTTGTATCATATTGGCTGTGTTCTTGTGCTTCATTTTGCAAGATTCTGAACTCTAAACAGTGCCATGTTGCAACACATTGAAAGATCGTTGTTCCTTTGAGAAGTTTGTTATTTGAAATGAGCTGCTAGAATATGCTATAATCTCGATCATGCACGACCGCTTCATTTTCTTCACATAATATTGAGCTCCTCCAATTATGGTTCGTCACAGATTCACTAATTAAGAATTCATAACTGCTGCCGCTAGAGTCATGGCTCCAAACTGATTTATCAAATATTATCATTATTGAAGATATATAAATGCAAATAATAAGAATTTCGGACAATTCAATGTCTACCTCAACTTTCCTTTCCTTCTATGCATTTGGATTAAGAATTGTCTTCGTGGTAGTTTCAGTTCTTAATAAATGTTGTTGATTTTGTAGGAGTCGAAAAGTGTCTATGAGGTAAGTGAAGTAAGCACTGGTGGAAAGTTGAGCAGGCACAATCTCCACGTTCAGCAAGTAGGGGCAGATACTGTAACAGAGTTATCCACATTTCACTTATCAGTCGGCGATCAACTACAAGACTTGCATAGTAAACTTGTCTTGGATCATCCACGGGGGGTTTCACGTCAACTTCACAAGTGTATTGTGGCACATTCTCAAGGCCAAGCTGTTTTTGATGGCAATGTTCAAGTCAATAGGTTTTACAAGCTCGTCTTCTCATTTACATGATTTGTCTGTTACTACGTTTTTATGCAGAGAATCATCGATTTTGTGTGTCAAATCCTTCATTTTGGTTAATTGAATCAGACATTGGTAGTCGATTCCTATTCAATCCTTAATACTTCTGATTTTGTTAATTGTTACGCAGAGAAGCTCAGCAAACAGATGCCGGACAGCTCACGAGGAGCCTTCTTTTGTCACCTCGGGCAACGGTCAACGTGAAACCGAACCTCCAAATAATTGCTGATGACGTGAAGTGCTCCCACGGAGCTGCCATTAGTGACCTTGAGGAGAATCAGCTTTTCTACTTGCGAGCGCGTGGTATTGACTTGGAAGCTGCAAGAAGAGCTCTGATTTTCTCGTTTGCGGCTGAGGTGATCGAGCATTTTCCCGACCCTGCGGTTAGGAAGAAAGTTGAGAGTCTCATAAGGTCGTTGTTCGATGCGACACTCGCTCCAAAGTAAGTGCCGATTGGTTTCGTAAAATGTGATGGAGTCTTGTAAATTAACCACTACTTTTTTTTTTCTTTTTTTTTTGCATGTTTGTGTGTGTGTGTGTTTGAGCAAAGGTTTAACTGTTATTATTCAGAGAAATGGTTCATAATAATACATTTGTTGTTTCTATCCAACTCTATTCTTACAAAGACTAATTGTGATTTATGGATTTGATAAGTTCAGATAGAGGTAATAGTCATAATTAGAAAGATGAATAAGCTATAAATTGTTCAAATCAAAAATAAATTTCTACCTAAACCAAGTGAACACTTATTTTATAAGCACTTGCTTTTGTTAAGCATAAGATAGGGTATCATGAAAATTGAATGAGAAAGTGAATGTTGTTTAACTACTAATCCATATATTATGTTACATTAACTTTTGCTTAAAATAGCAGCACCTCATTTGGATAGCATAACGCTGAATGAATCACTGATGAAAAGGAAGAGAGAACCCGCCAGCGTCCTCAATCTCCACTTCATGAAATGAAGGGAGTGGTGCAAATAGTACCGTTAAATTAAACAAGTCTGGCTTGGCTCGAGTTCTAGGCTTGAACGAGCCGAGCTCGAGCTCATTTAAAGCTCGATTGGTTAACGAGTAGAGCTTGGCTCGACTCGTTAAGGGTTGAAAATTAAATTTTTATATTATTTTTTATAGTTAGACTCGTTAAAGCACGAGATCAGCTAGTTAAGGCTCAGAGATTGCCTTAACGAGCCGAGCTCGAGCTCGAATTTTGGCTTGTTTATTTAACGAGTCGAGCAGCTCGGCTCGTTTACAGCTCTAGGTGCAAATGAATTGAAGTTGAATTTGTAATACTCGGCTTGTTAATATTAATGGAACGAACTCAAGCATTATTATTAAGTCGAGCTGAGACAAAAATTCAGAATGCTACATAAGAACTCTTTTATCGAGCTTTAACAAGTCGTTAACTAAATGAGTTTGTACCCAAGTAACTCATTTCATTTAAGGACTCTATGCAAAATCTTTATTGCGTTTTAGAAAGAAGATTATCACTTTATTTTGACATAATGTACTAACACTACTTAATATAAAAATAAAATTTGTTGATTTGAGACGACTTAACTAAGTAAAACAAATTAAGTTTTCTTGTTAAATAAATAACAATAAAAAAAAAATCATTATTTCTGCTTAAATACAATGGCTTACTAAATGAAGATAAGGTTTCAAGAGAAATTATCCCCAACAAAGAAGAGAAGAACCCTTTTCACTTTCAGCTTGCAATGGATATTTCTAATCTCATCAACATTTTCAAATAGGAAAATCCCCAAAACCCATTTTCACTCTTCTTTCTTCCAAATCCAAGTTTCCATGGCGATAAATCTCTCAGCCGCTCTACACCCATATCACCACCACCACTCAGACGCCACCCACCACCGCCCGCTCCATCTCACCACTCCATACTTTCTTCCCCACGCGAATAAAAGGTTAACCACCGTCCACTGTTCATCCAAGAAAGCAGCAGCGCCGCCGCCGCCGCCGCCCACCGTAGGTGGGGAGCAAAACAGCCCATCCTTAGCCGAGCAGCTTAAACCCTTGTCCACCACCGTTCTTTCCGGCGGACCAAACGAGACCCATCTCTTATCCAATCCCAAATCCACATGGGTTAACCCCACCAAGCCCAAACCGTCCGTACTCTCCCTCCAGCGCCACAAGCGCTCGTCTTCATACACGAACAATCCCCAATTCAAAGACCTCAGGCAGTTTTCATCGAAGCTCAACGAGTGCGATGAATCCGATTTCTTGTCTGTTCTCGAAGGTATCCCTCACTCGCCCACCCGGGAAAATGCGCTTTTCGTGTTAAAGAGTTTGCGTTCATGGCAAAAATCCCTTATTTTCCTCAATTGGGTTAAGGCCCAGAATGTTTTCCCCATGGAAACAATCTTTTACAATGTAACAATGAAGTCTTTGAGGCTTGGCAAGCAATTTCAGCACACAGAGGACCTTGCTCTCGAAATGATAGAGAAAGGTATCGAGCTCGACAACATTACGTATTCGACTATAATCACCTGCGCCAAAAAATGCAATCTTTTTGACAAAGCGGCCGATTGGTTCGAGCAGATGTACAAAACCGGGCTCATGCCCGATGAGGTCACTTATTCGGCCATCCTTGATGTGTATGCAAAGCTCGGTAAGGCCGAGGAGGTTTTGAGTTTGTACGAGAGGGCTAGGGCAAGCGGGTGGAAGCCCGACCCAATTGCATTTTCTGTGTTGGCAAAAATGTTTGGCGCGACTGGTGACTATGATGGTATTAAGTATGTCTTGCAAGAAATGAAGTCGCTCGGCGTACAGCCCAATTTGGTCGTGTACAACACGTTGCTAGAGGCGTTAGGCAAAGCCGGGAAGCCCGGGCTGGCCAGGAATTTGTTCGAGGAGATGGTTGGCTCGGGAATCGAGCCCAACGAGAAGACCTTAACAATATTGATAAAAATTTATGGGCGGGCCAGGTGGTCCCGGGATGCTGTGAAGCTTTGGGAACGTATGAGGGTGAACGGTTGGCCTGTGGATTTCATATTGTACAACTCGCTGTTGAGCATGTGTGCCGATCTTGGATTGGTGGATGAGGGAGAAAAGCTCTTTGATGACATGAAGGCCAATGGAAAGAGAAAACCCGACAGCTGGAGCTACACGGCTATGATGAATATATACGGGAGCGCTGGTAGTGTCGACAAGGCCATGGCTCTTTTTCAAGAAATGTCCGAGATGGGTTTACAGCTTAACGTTATGGGATGCACTTCTCTGATGCGGTGCTTGGGAAAAGCTGGGAAAATCGATGACTTGGTGAGGGTTTTCAATACCTCTGTCGAAAACGGAGTTAGGCCGGACGATAGGCTGTGCGGCTGCTTACTCTCGGTCATGTCCAATTGCGAGGGTGATGATGATGCAGATAAGGTCCTTTCTTGTTTAGAGCGAGCAAACCCGAAACTGTTTGCATTCGTGAACCTCTTGTGTGGCGGCGATGATGATGAAAATGTAGGTCTCGATAAAGTGAAGGACGAGTTCAAAAGCGTGCTTAGCGGCACGGAAGTCGAGGCCCGAAGACCCTTCTGCAACTGCTTAATCGATATCTGCAGAAAAAGGAACCTACCCAGAAGGGCCCACGAGCTTCTTTATCTGGGGACTGTATACGGATTGTACCACGGCTTGCACACCAAGACCGAAGAAGAGTGGCGGTTGAACGTTCGGTCTTTGTCAGTTGGTGCAGCCGAGACGGCCTTCGAGGAGTGGATGGGAACTCTCGCTAAAATCGTGCAGCGCAAGGAGAATTTGCCTGCTTTATTCTCCGCAAGCACGGGAGCTGGAACTCATAAGTTCTCACATGGTTTAGGGAGATCTTTTGCTTCCCATGTGGAGAAGCTGGCAGCGCCTTTTCGGGAGAGTGAGGATAAATCAGGTTTGTTCGTCGCGACTCGGGAGGACTTGGTTTTGTGGGTCCAGTCGAAGGTCTCTACCAGTGCCTGTACAAGCTAACTGTGAATGGCTTGTGGCAATTCGTGTGTGAGAGTCGAATAAACGGTCGTTTTAGAGTTAAAAAATTACAGCTCAGAGATCTTCACCTTGTGCGTAGTTTAGAATTTGCTGTAGATTTTGTTATAGTACAATGCTGGTAATTGGAAGTAATTTGAGGCTATATATGTTACTCTCCGACTGTTCGGCTTCTCTGAATCTGTACTTTGAAGATTGTAGAATAGCATTCAAGTGTTTGTTATAGTCTTTCCGCGCTTACTGGGGAACTTGTGACTTTTGCAAATTCTATATGTTCAAACTTTCCTTTTCTTTTTACCCTTTCTGCAAATTTGAATGGGCTGCTAAAATCACATGTTGTACTTGGATTGATACTCTTAGAGAAGAGATGTAAAATCAATGCAATACGATATTCGGATTACAATCTAAAATTGCAAAAACGGAACATTTTCCGAACATAATGTGGTGAAAACAGTGGGGAGCACTTAACAGTGTTGGTATGATAAATGGCTTTTGTGCTTTTGTACTTCTTTTGGTTCATGGCTTGGATTGATAGCCATACGGATTACGGCTTGCCCTGTTCCATTGATCCCTGCACATTTCATCTATATCGTATTTCGCCCTGAAAAACAACACAGATTCATGCAGTTTAACTCAGATATTGCAATCTGATAAAATAATAATTTGGTAAACTTTTACTTCCAACCGAGCTCTTTCCCAGCTTTGTCGATCGAGGCATAAAAAGCTGTTGCATCTCCCGGCCTTTTATGACACAGTTTAATCGGGATTTTCTGAAGGGGGGAAAGAAATAAAGAAATGAACTCAATTAGGAAAAAATGTAAGGAAAGAACAAAACAAACAAGAAGACTCACACTCACCTTGTTTGATGCCTTCTCAAAAGCAGCCACCATTTTAAGTACGGACGTGCCTCGACCCGTCCCCCAAGTTGTAAGCCACACGGCCTTAAAAAAAGCATAACAGTAGAGAATCAACATATAAACTCACTGCATTACCTAATTTGGCCAAGAGATCAATTCAAAACCCGATAAAAAAAAAAAAAAAAATCAGAAGATTTTGATTCACCTATGTCCTTGCGCTCCAGAAGCTTCTCAAGTGCAACGACATGGCCATCTGCTAAATCCATAACATGGATGTAGTCTCAAATCTGTTGAATAAAGAAATCGGTCGAGCAAAAATTAAACTCGATTCGTAGTGTTCTCCATCGATGAAACTAACTTTTATAATTCATTTAGGAGGAAAAGAGATGAACAGACTATACTGTGGCTGAATGTGTATTCATTTTACTACATAATATATTAAATAAAATCCGGAATAAAATGGAATTTATGCCGCACTGCCATTGAGTGTGGGATAATCATGACCATAAAGTTTAACAAACTTTCGTGTCTTTTATCGATTTCACATTGGTGTGTTATTATTATTTCATCTTATCCGACCTTATTTCCCAACAACTGGTATCAGAGCCAGGTTGTTGGAGATAAGATGGAGGGAAAGATTCAAGTCGAACGGTTCAATGGTTCCGACTTTGGATTCAGGCGAATGCAAATGGAGGCTTACCTGTACGGGAAGGACCTCTACGCACCTCTTGGGGAAAAGCCCGAGAAGATGAGCGATGATGAATGGAAGGTGCTCGATCGGAAGGCGATGAGCGCTATAATTCTTTCGCTCTCTCGGAACGTCGCCTACCATGTGAAGGGAGCAAAAAGCACGAAGGAGGTCTTGCAGACACTCGCCGACATGTATGAAAAACCATCAACAATAAACAAGGTGATGCTGATGAAAAAGCTGTTCAAATTGCAAATGGAGGAGCGAAAGTCAGTGGCAGATCATCTCAACGATTTCAACCAACTCACGACGCAGTTGGCATCGGTGGATATTTCGTTTGATGATGAGGTAAAAGCCTTAATCTTGCTCTCATCATTGCCGGACAGTTGGGACGTGGTTGTTACTTCGGTGAGCACTTCTTCTGGCAAGGAGAAGATGAAGTTCGACAACATAAGAGATATGATGTTGAACGAGGAGACCCGCAGAAATCAGACGGGTGGGTCGTCTGGCTCAGCCTTACATACAGAGTCCAGAGGGAGACCCGAAATACGAGGGAAAATCCGTGGGAGGTCAAAATCCAGGGGGAGGAATAAAGGCAAGAAAGAGATGGTGTGTTGGAACTGCGAGAAGCCTGGGCATATGAAAAGCGAATGTCGGGCACCAAGGAAGGACAAAGAAGGCCGGACAGCCAATGTCGTGACGGAGGACACGGCGGATGCACTCTTGTTGAGTGTGAGAAGCTCGCTCGATGACTGGATCGTGGACTCAGGGGCCTCGTTTCACTCATGCAGTAGCAGAGACATCATGGAGCCATACACCGCAGGTGATTTTGGCGTGGTATATCTTGCAGACAACAAATCCCTAAAAATTGTAGGGAAGGGAGATGTGCAGATCAAGTCCGCAAATGGGTCGTGCTGGACTCTACGGGATGTGAGGCACATTCCAGGACTGAAGAGGAATCTCATCTCAGTTGGACAGCTGGACAATGACGGCTTCCACACAATGTTTTGAGACGGAAAGTGGAAGATCAGCCGAGGAGCTATGACTTTGGCAAGAGGGCTGAAGTCAGGAACGCTTTACACAACGAGTGGATCCAGCTCAAACATTCTCATGGCAGGAGCTGTCTCACAATCGCACTTGTGGCACAGTCGCTTGGGCCACATGAGCGAGAAAGGAATGAAGGTACTAAAGTCGAGAGGACTTTTGCCCGAGTTGGAGTCAGTGGACGTGGGTCTCTGCGAGCAATGCGTGCTTGGAAAGCAGAAGCGAGTGAGCTTCATAACCACTGGGAGAGCTCCAAAGACAGAAAAACTGGAGCTCGTGCACACTGACTTATGGGGGCCAGCACCGGTGACATCTCTTGGAGGATCGATGTACTACATGACGTTCGTCGATGACTGCACAAGAAAGGTATGGGTGTACTTTCTCAAAAGAAAATCCGAAGCCTTTGATACTTTCAGGAGATGGAGAGCACTCGTGGAGAAAGAGACAGGTCTGGAAGTGAAATGTCTCAGATCCGACAACGGTGGTGAGTACAACAGTGAAGCCATCAAGGAATACTGCGCTGATCATGGGATCCGAATGCAGAAGACGGTCCCAGGGACACCTCAGCAAAATGGCATTGCGGATAGGATGAATAGGACGCTGAATGAGCGTGCGAGATGCATGCGATTGAAGAGTGGACTGCCCAAGATGTTTTGGGCAGAAGCAGTCAGCACGGCCGCTTTCTTGATCAACCGGGGGCCTTCTGTCCCACTGAACAACAAAATTCCAAAGAGGTCTGGAGTGGTAAGGAAGTTGATCTCTCTTTCTTACGTACCTTTGGTTGTTTGGCTTACGTTTTGAACGACGACCGGACAAAGCTGGATGCTAAGTCCATCAAATGTACATTCATAGGATATGGGACTGACGAATTTGGGTATAGATTTTGGGATGATCAAAATCGGAAAATTATTCGCAGTCGTAATGTGGTGTTTAATGAAGGCGTAATGTACAAAGACCGGAAGGAATACCCAGACGATGACAAGACCATGCAGGAGTATGTTGGTCTGGATATTTCAAATACCAGAATCATGAGACCAGCAGATTCAGTGGGAGCTCAGATAGATGAGATCGAGCGTACAGAAGAAGAGGTAGAACAAGAATCGGATGAACCGATTGCTGAGAGCAGCACGCCTCTGGCACTGGGCCGAGAACCGAGGATGAGAAGGGCCCCGGATAGGTACTCCCCTTCTCTTTATTACCTACTTTTATCTGATTATGGGGAACCCGACTGTTATGCAGAGGCAGTTAAAGATGCCCACAAGAGCAAGTGGGAGCTTGCGATGGACGACGAGATGAACTCATTGAAGAAGATCCACACATGGGATTTGTGTGATCTCCCTAAAGGAAAGAAGGCTCTTCAAAACAGATGGGTCTATCGGGTCAAGGAGGAATCAGATGGGACGAAGCGATACAAGGCCAGACTTGTAGTGAAGGGATTCCAACAGAGATACGGTATTGACTTTACCGATGTTTTTACACCTGTTGTTAAGTTAACCACTATTCGTCTAGTGTTAAGCATGGTAGCGGCGGAGAATTTGGAGTTGCAACAGTTAGATGTGAAGACGGCCTTTCTGCATGGGGATCTCGAAGAAGAAATTTACATGGTGCAGCCAGAGGGGTATAGAGGAAATGATCAGCAGGTCTGCCGCCTAAAGAAGAGCTTGTACGGACTGAAACAGGCTCCTCGACAGTGGTATCGAAAGTTCGATAATTTCATGCTGGAGATTGGATACTCCAGGTGTAATGCTGATCATTGTTGTTATGTGAAAAGGTTCGGTAACTCTTTCATTATTTTACTGCTATATGTGGATGACATGCTGATAGCAGGATCAGATGTCAAGGAGATCGAGAGGCTCAAGGATCAACTATCAAGGAAATTTGATATGAAGGATCTAGGAGAAGCGAGACAAATACTGGGCATGAAAATCACGAGGGACAGGAATGCTGGTAAACTTTGGCTTTCTCAATCTGATTATATTGAGAAGGTGTTGTGCAGATTCAAAATGGATACTGCAAAGCCGGTTGGAGTACCATTGAGAAGCCAGTTCAAGTTGTCCAACAAGGATTCGCCCAAGGATGACTCTGAAAAAGAAAGGATGAGAGTTACGCCTTATGCTTCGGCTATAGGGAGCCTGATGTACGCTATGGTCTGCACCAGGCCAGACATAGCACATGCAGTGGGAGTAGTCAGCCGGTTCATGAGCAATCCTGGAGTGATGCACTGGGAGGCGGTAAAGTGGATCCTTAGGTACCTGAGAGGTACTAAGGACCGGGCATTGGTATTTGGCAGGGGTACCCTTACCCTGTCTGGGTTTGTCGATGTTGATTTTGCAGGAAGTGATCATGACAAGAGGAGGAGTACTACTGGGTACGTGTTCACTTACGGTGGGACGGCCGTATCCTGGATCTCAAAGCTGCAGAAGATAGTCACATTGTCAACAACGGAAGCTGAGTACGTGGCAGTGACGGAGGCAGCCAAAGAGCTCGTTTGGCTGCAAAACTTTCTGAATGAACTTGGGAGACCTCAGGAGGATGTGGCTCTGTACAGCGATAGCCAGAGTGCAATTCATCTGGCAAAGAATCCCGCGTTTCACTCGCGAACGAAGCACATCGAGGTTAAGTATCATTTCATCCGGCAACTTCTAGAGAAGAAGATGTTGCAGCTGAAAAAGATTCGGGGAGATAGGAATCCTGCAGGCATGTTGACCAAGGCGGTAACTTTGGAAAAGTTGAAGCTGTGTGTAGCTTCGACCGGCCTTGATGATTAAAACAGACAGACCCGGCAGAACCAGGAGCAGAGATGAACATGTTGATCGATGAGGTGTGAGGACAGATTGAAATCAGTCCTCAAGTGGGAGATTGTTAGGTAAAAATGGGTAGTTGAGCCCATACCATTTGACAAATATTGCCAACAACTCTTCTTTGTTCACATTAATAGTACACAAATGTGGAAAAAAGTATGTGTACTCTTCTTCTATAAATAGAGGGATTGTGATGAACCAAATCACAACAACAAAAGAAAACATAACAAGAGAGATAGAGAGAAAAAGAGTAGAGAGAGTGTATTCATACGGGCTTGTGTGAGTTGTAACATTCAGTTTATCCTCTTCTTCTAGTTCATTCTCCTAGCTTGGTTCGCCCCCAGACGTAGGATTTAATCCGAACTGGGTTAACAAACTTTCGTGTCTTTTATCGATTTCACATTGGTGTGTTATTATTATTCCATCTTATCCGACCTTATTTCCCAACATTCTCCATCGATGAAACTAACTTTTATAATTCATTTAGGAGGAAAAGAGATGAACAGACTATACTGTGGCTGAATGTGTATTCATTTTACTACATAATATATTAAATAAAATCCGGAATAAAATGGAATTTATGCCGCACTGCCATCGAGTGTGGGATAATCATGACCATAAACGTTTAACTCAGGCAATTGACCGACAACCACTTGTGTTATATACGGCATTAGATTGTTTGGGATTCCCTTCGGATCTTCTCCGAGCATTCCACTCTCATGGGCCCCGACCGGGTTGAAATATCTTAGCAATATCATCCTCCATTCGGGATCTGCCTTCTGAATATCCCAAGCAATTTCTTCAAGAAAGAGCTGATAGAATTGAAAAGAAGGCTTTTATCAGCAATGAACTAAGCAACACTTTTTCTAATATTCGAACAATAAAACGAAATATTGTAGAACACAAACCTTTGTGCGGCCGTATGGATTCATAGCCTTCAATTCCGAATCTTCCAGACAAGGGACTTTTCAGGCTGACCGTACACTGTGGCGGATGAAGAAAAAACCAACTACAAAGAAAATCGGACTCCATCCTCAAATTCACAAGATAAATGAACATTAAGTAAAGAAGTTCATTTCGAGTAGAGAAAGATACACACCCTCTTACAATCATATTTTGCCATTATCTTATACAAGTTAATCGACCCAAATAAATTGCTGTCGAAATATCTCATCGGGTGAGCAACACTCTCCCCAACAGCTTTAAGCCCGGCAAAATGGATCACGACATCAAACCTTTTTAAAAAGTTTCAGAAAGAGATTAGACCCGAAAATCAACATACATGAACAAGATTACATAGAAACCGGCAAAACCAACATTATCCAAGGCATAACATGCTAAAATAAAGGAAACACCAAACAAGCTACGTTACGCTCGCAGGCATCAGCCTGCCTCATTCTTTTGTTAATATATGAGCCATACCAACAGAGGACATGAATCATTGATACCAAGTGGAAGTCGAGATTACAGGAGAGGTGGGGCCCAGCTAACTGCCTGAGCCGGTGAACAGCATCCTCGACCGCATTGTCGAGGTTGTCTATGATCGAAACCTTAAACCCTTGTTTCAGAAGCTGCTGCAGCACCGTGTGAGTGCCGATGAAACCAGCGCCGCCGGTCACCAGGATCCTCCCTTTTTTTATCCATCGGCATGCAAATCGACCCAAACAAACTGTTTTATCAACAAAAAGCCGTAAGAAAGCACAATTTTTGAATGAATTTCTTGACAAATTTGTTGGGTTTTGCGGGACTTTTAAAAAGTGCGCTTCTTGGCCAGTGGGTGTTGTTGACGGGTCGATATCAATAGAGGCTGTGAGGCCGTTAGGGGGTTTGTGTCAGCCACGAATAGTCAAAAAGGGGCTACAGCCCATTTCCTTTGACAAAACAACCAAAAAGCAACAAAAAAAAAAAGAAGCACGCGGCTGTTTCTTGTGGAAAAATGCAGCAGAATTTTGTGGAAAAATTCATCCATTCCTCAGCTATAAATAGAGAGAAAATGAGAGCATTATAACCACAACAAAAAATACAACAACAAATACAAACATCCTAAAGAGAGAAAAGAGAGATAAAAAGGGTGTGAGCAAAAAGCAAGAATTTAGCTTATGTGTGTATTTGAGTTGTGAGTTGTGAGTGAGTTCGAGAGTGTTTTGTAAACACGAGTGTATTTCTTTTTCCCAATAAAATATCTGCAGTAGTCCGGAGACGTAGGCATTATTGGCCGAACTCCGTTATCAATTTGGTGTGTCCAATTTTTTTTATTTCACTTTTATAGATCCGACTTCAGGAAATTTCAGCGTATTTTTCCCAACAACTGGTATCAGAGCCAGATTGTTAATTCTGTAATTTTTTTTGTGTGGGTTACTAATCCGTGAATAGTGAAAAACGGGAATAGTGCCAAATTTGTCGGCGCTACAAATTTATCTACCCACGTGTTCTGAAACACGGTAGTTCACAAAAATTACAGAAACGATCCGGCAGAGAAGTCAGATCAGAGTCGAAGTGATGGCTGCAGACGAAGGAAAAATGAAAATTGAAAAGTTCGATGGTGCGGACTTTGGCTTCTGGAAGATGCAGATCGAGGATTATCTGTACCAGAAGAATATGTATCAACCACTCACGGGAAAGAAACCAGAGGACATGAAGGAGGAAGAATGGAGTCTCCTTGACAGACAAGCCCTTGGAGCCATTCGGCTGACGTTATCCCGTAATGTTGCTTTTAACATTGCAAAAAAAAAGACGACAGCAGGCCTCATGAAGGCTCTTTCCAACATGTACGAGAAACCATCAGCCTCAAATAAAGTCCATTTGATGAGGCGATTGTTCAACCTGCGGATGAGTGAAGGTGCTCCGGTGGCAAATCATCTCAATGAGCTCAACACTGTTACAACCCAGTTGAGTTCAGTTGGGATCGAGTTTGATGATGAAGTACGGGCTTTAATACTTTTGTCTTCTCTACCAGAAAGCTGGAATGCTACAGTCACAGCTGTGAGTAGCTCATCGGGAAGCAATAAGTTGAGATTTGATGATGTCCAAAATTTGGTTCTCAGTGAAGAGATCCGGCGGAGGGAGTCGGGTGAACCATCAACCTCTTCTGTATTGCATACAGAGTCGAGAGGAAGAAGTTCAACCAAGAAAGCAGACATATCAAATAAAAGGGAAAAAGATCCAGGTCCAGAAATCATCGTGGTTCCCAAAACTCGAAGTCGATCGAGTGCTGGAATTGTGGGAAGACCGGGCACTACAGAAATCAGTGCAAGAGTGCACCGAAGGGTCAAGAGACAAAAGAAGAGGCAAATATTGCTTCAACCTCAAGAGGAGACACGCTGATCTGTTCTTTGGAGAACAGAGAAGAGTCTTGGGTGTTAGACTCTGGAGCATCCTTTCATGCTACCTCACAGAAGGAACTATTCGAGAATTATGTTCCTGGAAATCTTGGTAAAGTTTACCTTGGTAATGAGCAATCATGTGAGGTTGTCGGCAAAGGTGCAGTAAAAATCAAGTTGAACGGGTCTGTTTGGGAATTAAAAAATGTCAGACATATTCCCGACCTGACGAAGAATTTAATCTCCGTGGGCCAGCTAGCCAGTGAAGGCTACACAACAATCTTCCATGGTGATGATTGGAAGATTTCAAAGGGTGCAATGACAATTGCTCGAGGCAAAAAGAGTGGTACTCTTTACAAGACCACATGAGCATGTCATCTGATTGCAGTTGCAACAAATGAAAGTCCCAATCTATGGCACCAAAGACTTGGGCATATGAGTGAAAAAGGGATGAAGATCATTCACTCAAAAGGAAAATTACCAGGCCTCCAGTCAATAGAAATTGACATGTGTGAAGGCTGTATACTTGGAAAGCAGAAGAGAGTCAGCTTTCAGACAAGTAGAAGAACCCCAAAGAAGGAGAAGCTTGAGCTCGTCCACTCCGATGTTTGGGGTCCATCGACTGTCCCATCCGTTGGTGGGAAGCAATACTTCGTGACTTTTATCGATGATCATTCCAGAAAGGTATGGGTTTACTTTCTGAAACACAAGTCAGAAGTATTTGAAGCTTTCAAGATTTGGAAAGCTATGGTGGAAAATGAGACAGCCTTGAAGATCAAAAAGCTCAGATCCGACAATGGTGGTGAATACGTAACCACCAGATTCAAGAAGTTTTGCTATGAGCACGGGATCAGAATGGAGATAACCGTGCCTGGTACGCCTCAACACAATGGTGTAGCTGAGCGTATGAATCGAACGTTGACTGAAAGATCCAGAAGCTTGCGTGTGCAGTCAGGCCTACCAAAGCAGTTCTGGGCAGAAGCAGTCAACACAGCAACTTACTTGATCAACCGAAGTCCATCGGTACCATTGGATCACAAATTACCAGAAGAGGTATGGAGCAGAAAAGAAGTAAAACTCTCACATCTTAGAGTTTTCGGGTGTGTAGCATATGTGCACATCAGTGATCAAGGTAGAAACAAACTTGATCCAAAATCAAAGAAATGTACTTTCCTTGGTTATGGTGAAGATGAGTTTGGCTACCGCTTATGGGATGATGAAAACAAAAAGATGATCCGCAGCAGATATGTCATCTTTAATGAAAGAGTGATGTACAAGGACCGGCATAACACAAGTGCCAGCAACTCAGAAGCGAGTGGGCCAGTTTATGCAGAGGTGGAAGATATCCCAGACATTCCTGTAATAAGGAATCCTCGGTCAGAGGAATCAAATGAAGAAAGCGGTGAGCAATCAGAACCTTCTACTCCAACTCCTGTATTGAGAAGGTCCTCTCGGCCCCATGTGCCTAATAGGAGATACATGGACTACATGTTGTTGACCGATGGAGGAGAACCTGAAGACTATTGGGAGGCTTGTCAAACCCAGGATGCTAGCAAGTGGGAGCTTGCCATGAAGGACGAGATGAAGTCCTTGATCTCAAATCAGACATGGGAACTAGTCAAGTTACCCATGGGAAAGAAAGCACTTCACAACAAATGGGTGTATCGGGTGAAGGAAGACCATGATGGTTCCAGGAGATACAAAGCCCGACTGGTTGTCAAAGGATTTCAGCAGAAAGAAGGAGTTGACTATACTGAAATCTTTGCTCCAGTTGTAAAGCTCAATACTATCAGGACTGTGTTAAGTATTGTGGCTAGTGAAGAGCTCTATCTAGAGCAGTTAGACGTGAAGACTGCATTTCTTCATGGAGACCTAGACGAGGAGATCTATATGCACCAGCCTGAAGGTTTTTCAGACGGAAAGAAGGATATGGTGTGCAGATTGAAGAAGAGCTTGTACGGCCTGAAACAAGCTCCAAGACAGTGGTATAGGAAGTTTGAGAGCTTCATGCACAAGGAAGGATTCCAGAAATGCAATGTTGATCACTATTGTTTCTTCAAGAAATATGAGTCCAGCTATATCATATTGCTACTTTATGTCGATGACATGTTAGTAGCAGGATCAAATATGATAGACATCAGAAATTTAAAGATGCAGTTGTCAAAAGAATTTGACATGAAGG